AATACCAGATTTCAAGCAGTATTACAAAGCCACTGTTCTCAAAGCAGCCTGGTACTGGCACAAGAACAGACATATAGATCAATGGAACAGAATAAAGAATCAGGATATCGACCCAAACCTCTATGCTCAATTAATATTTGACAAAGGAGGCATGAACATACAATGGAGTCAAGACAGTCTCTTTAATAAATGGTGTTGGGAAAATTGGACAGATACATGCAAAAAAATGAAACTAGATCACCAACTTACACCATACACAAAAATAAAATCAAAATAGATACAGCACTTAAACATAAGAAGGGAAACCATAAAAACACGAGAGACATCCACAGGCAGTAAAATCTCAGACATACGCTGAAAAAACTTCACTGATACTTCTCCTAGAGCAATGGAAGCTAAAGAGAAAATAAACAAATGGGACTACATCAAAATAAAAAGCTTGCCGAAATCGGTTTGGCTCAGTGGATAGAGCGTTGGCCTGCAGACTGTAAGGTCCCAGGTTCGATTCTGGTCAAGGGTATGTACCTTGATTGCAGGCATATTCCCAGTAGCAGGTGTGCAAGAGGCAGCTAATTGATGTTTCTCTCACATCGATGTTTCTAACTATCCCTCTCTCTTCCTCTCTGTAAAAAATCAATAAAATATATTTTAAAAATAAACAAATAAATAAAAAGCTTTTTTACAGCAAAAGAAACCATCAACAAAACAACAAGAAAGCCCACTGTATGGGAGAACATATTTGCAAATGTTATCACTGATAAAAGTTTAAACTCCAACATCTACAGACAGCTTATACAACTTAATAAAAGATAAATGATCCAATTAAAAAATGGGCAATGGACCTACATAGAATCTTTTCAAAATAAGATACAAGGCCAAAAAAAAAAAAAAAAAAAAAAAAAAAGATAGAAAGCCAAGAGGCACATGAAAACATGCTCAAAGTCACTAATTATCCAAGAGATGCAAATCAAAACGACAATGTGATACCACCTCACACCTGTCAGAATGGCTATCATTGACAAATCAACAAATGACAAATGTTGGCAAGGTTGCAGAGAAAAAGGAACCGTCATGCACTGCTGGTGGGAATGCAGACTGGTATACCCACTGTGGAGAACAGTATGGAGTTTCCTCAAAAAACTGAAAATGGAACTCCCATTTGACCCAGGAATCCCACTCCTAAGAATATATCCTAAGAAACTAGAAACACCAATCAAAAAACACCCCCATGTTCATAGCAGCACAATTTACAATAGCTAGGATTTGGAAACAGCCTAGGTACCCGTCAGCAGATTATTGGATCAGTAAACTATGGTACGTCTACACAATGGAATACTATGCTGATATAAAAAAGAAGGAATTCTTATCATTTGCAGCAACCTGGATGTACCTGGAGAACATTATGCTAAGTGAAATAAGCCAGTCAACCAAAGAAAAATACCACATGATCTCAGTTATTTATGGATAATAAAGAACATTATAAACTGAACAAAAAGATGGATACAGAGACAGTTAAGCAACAAACAGACTGTTAAATTATAGTGGGGAGATATGGGGGAGATAAGGGATCAACCGAAGGACTTTTATGCATACATATAAGTTTAATCAATGGACAAAAAAACTCTCGGGAGGGAAGGCATCTACGGGAGGCGGGCCATGGTACGATATATACACATATAATACCTTAATAATAATTTTTTAAAAAAAAACACCTTTGTGCCGAAACCGGTTTGGCTCAGTGGATAGAGCATCGGCCTGCGGACTGAAAGGTCCTGGGTTCAATTCCGGTCAAGGGCATGTACCTTGGTTGCGGGCACATCCCCAGTAGGGGGTGTGCAAGAGGTAGCTGATCGATGATTCTCTCTCATCGATGTTTCTAACTCTCTATCCCTCTCTCTTCCTCTCTGTAAAAAGTCAATAAAATATATTAAAAACACACACACACACAAAAAAAAACCCACACCTTTGTGTTAGACACAAGTCTGGTAATTTTAAGTGTAATATACCCTGTCCTTAAGGCCCTACTCCCCCTTCATCCAAAGAAACTATTATCAATCTGTAAGCATTATAGCAACATTTTAAAATCGTTACAGTATTAGTATTAAAAAAAGACTAATAAGTTGAGTTGTATGAGTTCTTTATATATTTTGGATATTAACCCCTTGTTGGAGCTATTGTTTGCAAGTATCATTCCCCATTCTATTTGTTGCTTTTTTGTTTTGTCAGTAGTTTCTTTTGCTGTGCAGAAGCTTTTTAGTTTGATATAGTCCCATTCATTTATTTTTGCCTTTTCTTCCCTTGCCTTTGGGGTCAAATTCCTAATATGTTCTCTATGACTAAGGTCTATAAACTTAGTACCCATGTCTTCTTCCATGTACTTTATTGTTTCGGATCTTAATCCAAAAATTAATGTGGCCGAAACCAGTTTGGCTCAGTGGATAGAGCATCAGCTTGCGGGCTGGAAGGTCCCAGGTTCGATTCCAGTCAGGGGCATGTACCTTGGTTGCGGGCACATCCCCGGTGGGGAGTGTGCAGGAGGCAGCTGATTTATGATTCTCTCTCATTGATGTTTCTAACTCTCTGCACCAGACAAAAAATCTAACTGAAAAATGGGCAAAGAATTTTATACCTCTCCCAAGAAGACATATAAGCAGCCAACAGATATATGAAAGAAGATTCAACTTCACTATTAGCGAAATGCAAATCCGAACTATAATGACATACCACCTCACACCTGTTAGAATGGCTATTATCAACAAGACAAGTAATAAAAAGTGTTGTGAAGGAAAAGGAACCCCATTCACTGGTGGTGGGAATGCAGCCACTATGCAAAACAGTATAGCGGTTCCTCAAAAATTAAGAATAGCTACCTTATGACACAGCAACATCTACCTGAAAAACTCTAAAACACTTATTCACAAAGATACAGGCACACCTACGTTCCCTGCAGCATTATTCATGGTGGCCAAGACACGGAGACAACCAATGTGTCTTTTGGTCAAGATGTTGTACGTATACCAGTGCACAATGAGATTCTATCAACCATAAGAAAAGGTGTAATACTGTCATTTGCAACAACATGAATGGACCTTGAAAATACCATAAGCGAAATAAATCAGTCAGAAAAAGCTAAGAAACACGTGATTTCCCTAATATGCAAGATATAAAACTGAAACTCAGAGACAAACAATAGGATGGTAATTACTAGAGCGGGGGAAGAAAGTAAAGGGGCCAACTATATGGTGACAGAAGATGAATTGACTTTGCATGGGGGGTACACCACTCAAATAGATCATCTTATATAATATAAGGCTAATATGCAAACTGACCGAACGGCAGAAAGACTGTGTGCTCCCACAGGGGGAGTGCCACTCAGCCAGAAGCCAGACTCACAGGGAGTGGACCTAAGCTGCTAGTCAAACATCCCCGAGGGCTCCTGGACTGCGAGAGGGTGCCGGTCGGGCTGAGGAACCACAGCTCCCAGAGTGCATGAATTTCACGCACCGGGCCTCTAGTGGGTTATAAAAACGTACACTTGAAGCCTATATGATCTTATTAACAGTATCACTCCAATAAATATAACTTAAAAAAAGAAAAAGAAATAGCTTTAGCCTAGCTAGCATGGCTTGGTGGTGAAGTATGAACCTATGAACCACGAGGTTATTGTTAGATTCCCAGTCAGGGCCACATGCCCAGGTTTCGGGCTCAAACCCCCGGGGAGGGGGAGGGAAGGGCATGTAGGAGCAGCCTACCAATGATTCTCATCATTGATATTTCTACCTCTCTCTTCGTCTCTGAAATAAAAATATATATATTAAAAAAAATAAGTTACTTAAAAAATATGTGGTAACATCATGAAACTCAAGAAATTATTCAATAAAATAGCCTACTTTGGTGGAAAAAAAGGAAAAAAGCATCATTATATAATACTTAATATCAGTTAAATTTAAATATCTCCAAAATGAAATTTTCATTCTAAGATATTTCCAATTTTTAGTAAAAGTCTTTTCGATTAAACATTTCAAGTCAATTACTTACACTTTCCAATGAATACCCAACAAATACATCTTTTCTTCAGTTCTAAAATCTGTTAAATATTAAAAGTAATTGACCAACAAGAACACCAAAGACTAATTATTATGAATTAAATGAATATCTAAATATTACTTGGTTGCAATAAAATTTCTATAGATACACAGCTTACTAAAGAAAGAATAGACCAAACAGCAATAGAAATAAAATAGTAAAAGTTGACAAATTTTGTTGTAGGTTGAAATAAAAAGGTATGTCCAAGTCCTAATCCTTGGTTATCTGTGACTGTGACCCTATTGGGAACTGGATCTTTGTGAATAAAATTAAGGTATGAGTTGAGATGAACACTGGAGTAGGGTGTGCCTTAATCATATATAACTCTCATTCTCATAAGAAGAGAAGAGACAGCAACAGACAGGGACAGGAAGAATGCCACATGCAGACGGAGGTAGAGTTCGTTCAGAGTGATGTATCTGCAAGCCAAGGAATGCTGGCTCTGCCAAGACGGTAAGAACGGCAAGGAACAGGATCTGCCACAGAGGCCTCTGATAGGGGAGGGCAGTTGGGAGGGACCAGGCTTGTAGGGAGGACAGTTGGGGGGGACCAGGCCAGCAGGGGAGGGTAGTTAGGGGTGACCAAGCCAGCAGAGGAGGAGAGTTGGGGACAAACAGGCTGGCAGGGGGCAGTTAGATATCAATCAGGCTGGCAAGGGAGTGGTTAAGGGGTGATCAGGCTGGCAGGCAGAAGTGGTTAGGGGAAATCAGGCAGGCAAGCGATTGGGAGCCAGCAGTCCTGGATTGTGAGAAGGATCCCAGATTGGAGAGGGTGCTAACTGGGTCTAGGGACAAGCACCGTGCCCCGCCCATCCCCACTGCACAAATTTCATGTACCAGGCCTCTAGTATAATCATAAAACAAAACAGGACAAAATAAATGTTTTATATAACAAAGACATTAAAGACTACTTACGAATTGATGGGATCATATTTTTGAACTCCATATACTGGCACTATTTCTGCACGCTTGATGACTTTCTGTGTATCATACAGAAGGAACATGCTGAAAAGAGCTAATCCACCGTAAATTGCCACAGAGTACAGAGTGGCACCAGCCACAGTGGTAGGTGGAAGAAACATAGATCCTGAAATCAAAATGGGAAAAGAGGTGGGGTTTTTTTTGTTTTTTTTTTAAAGGGTCTTTTCTCTAACTGTATATATAGTTAATGCTATTTAAAAATTTTTTTTGTATACTGAACAGATTAAAAAAGCATCTCAGTTATAAAAATGGTCTAATTTTATATACATTCAATTCAAAACCCATGATACTCATTTCTGCAAAGGGTGGCTTACCCACATTACAGGAAGGCTCTTGTATCAGAGCAATGCTCATGTTCTGCAGACCAACTTTGCCATTTTAGATGCATTTGGTAAACCAATAGTAATGATTTGCTCTGATGCCAAATAAGAAAATCCAGTCTAATTAGCACAGATCTTTTGAACAACTTTTAAAAATGACTAAATATTTTTCCCTCCAGTAAGAAACCTGAGTATCTAAGATGATTTTGGTACATCATGAACCAAAAACCAACTGTCAAAGCACAGTGGCTTACCCAGTGAGGACACAAAGACGAGGCCCAGGCCCACTCCCAGGGGTGCTCCCATATTCAGAAACTTCTCACTGGGCGCACACATGGCCACAGTGGAGAGGCCACCTACGATGCCTGCCGTGTACCACGCAGCTCTGATGAGAAGAGGCCCCCCTAATATCGTCAGAGGAGCCACTACTGCACCCATCACACCTGGAGAAAACAAGTGGTTAGTTTTTACTAAACAAGCAAAGGGAAAATGCCACTTCTAACATGCCCTTTGAACCTATTTTAACTTATATTAAGCAGTTCAATAAAAAAGCCTTCCCCTTATTTATGTTAACACTACTCCCAAAATCCTACAACCAAAACTTAGGGCTATCCAGATTCTAAAATCACAATAGCAGCATTATTCATAGTCAAACAGCCACAACTCACAAGTACAAACACTAACCTACGTTTTTAGTGACTGTCAAATTTTGTGCTGTAGTTAATTTTTTGGGTTAAAACCTAACTTTAGTCTTAAACAAAGTAAGACGAGAAAGTGAGTTAATTATGCTAATCTTAAATGTGGCTCAAGGTTGAGTGTTGATCTATGAACCAGGAGGTCACAGTTCAATTCCTGGTCAGGGCACATGCTCCAGGTTGCAGGCTCGATTCCCAGTAGGGGACATGTAGGAGGCAGCTGATCAATAGTTATCTCTCATCATTGGTGTGTCTCTTTCTCCCTCTGGCCTCCTCTCTGAAATCAATAATATATATATATATATATATATATATATATATATATATATATATATATGATTTTTTTTTTCTTTTTAAATGTAGAAACTTCAAGGACACTGTTGTTATATTGTGTAATAAGGAATGTAATCATAACTTGTAAAAAGTAATTTGTTGTTAAATATTTATAAACAGCCTCATAAAAATTACAATGGAAGTTATCAATATAATTAACCAAGTAAACAGAATTCAATTGAAAAATAAATCTTGCCCTAAGCAGTTTGGCTCAGTGGTAAGAACCTTGGCCCTCAGACTGAAGGGTCCGGGTTCAATTCCTGGTCTAGGCATGTACTTGGGTTGCAAGCCCGCATGTGCAGGAGGCTAACTATCAATGTTTCTCCCCACTCTCCCCTTCCATCCTCTCTAAAAATCAATGGAAAAAATATAATCAGGTGAGAATGAACCATAAATAAATAAATAAACAAACAAATAAATCTTAGATAAGGCATTATCTCAATGGTGAGTAGAACAAGTTACCCTTTTCTTAAACATTAAATGTGCATAGTCTAACTTAGAATAGGCACAGAGCTGTCTTCATACTATCATAAAACTTCAATACTAGTGTATTTCTTTTGTGAGAATAACATTTCTAGGTCAAGTAGTAAGGTAACTGATTGTATTTCATGATGAATAACTTTAAAATATTTTTTGCTCTAGGATCCCACTATAGCTGCTGTGCTCACCAGCCATGAGCCTGGCTCAGGGCTTCTGGCTAAGCAGCACTTCCCATGGGAGCACACTGACCATTAGGGGGCAGCTCTGCATTGAGAGTCTGCCTCCTGGTGGTCAGTACACATCATAGCGACCAGTTGTTCCACTATTCAGTTAATTTGCATATTAGCCTTTTATTACATAGAACTAGAGGCACGGTATACAAAATGTGTGCACGGGAAGGGGGTGTCCCTCAGCCTGGCCTGCACCCTCTCCAATATGGGACCCCTTAGGGGATGTCCTACTGCCGGCAGTCAGATATCCCTCTCACAATCTGGGACTTTTGACTCCTAACCACTTCTGCCTGCCAGCCTGATCACCCCTTAACTGCTACCCTGCTAGCCTGGTTGTCACTAACTGCTCCCCTGCCGACCTGATCGTCCTCAACTGCCCTCCCCTGCTGACCTGGTCGCCCACAACTTCCCTCCCCTGCCAACCATTTTGTGGTGGCCATCTTGTGATGATGTGAGGGCATCATGCAAAGGCACAAGAACCACCTAGGTTTTAATTAGTATAGATACCTGAGCCTCATTCCATATTTCTGGTTAAGTGCTCCCAGTTTGCAGACTGTCATTTTGATGTGTGTACTATTAACTTTTACTAATTACTATTTCAGTAATTCACTGCTTTTACTTGTTATTTCTGAATTTTTGACAGATATTATAGCTAATAATACTGCATCATACATTTGAATGTTGCTAAGAGTAAATCTTAAATATTCCCACTAGGAAGAAAGAAATAGCAAATATGGAATGGAGGTGTTATTTATTGCCATGGTGGTAATAATTCTGCTACACATACGTGTATCAAATCAACATGCTGCACCTTAAACTTATACAATATTATGTGTCAATTACATAATAAAGTTGGGGGAATAACACAAATAGAATAGTTTTTCAACGAGCATTTCAGTAACGCCTGCTAAGTATCACTTGGTCCTGACTGAGACCACTGGTGTACTAAACGTTTGGATAAAAAATGTCAGCTTTGTTGTCCTTTTGATGCTGAGTCCTTGAACCATCCAAACCCCCTCTGGGTCCCATCTCAATCTTGCCAGGGAATAATAAACGGGCATAGTTCAGGACTTGGAAAAACAAGACTGGGGTGCCAGTGACTTTTGTGCTTCCTAGTGTATGACTCACCCAGCCTTGGTTTCCTCAATTATACAATATGAATATGCTAATATCTACCCAGTTTCCTAATATATTTATGAAGAATAAAACATATTTTGAGCCACAATTAAAAATAAATAAATAAATTGGCCATCATACTGTGCAGCCCTGGGTTAACATAGCAGGCCTACGGCTGTCTTTACAAAGGCCTGCTTGCCAGGTTAGTCCTGCTTATCTGAGAAGCTGGCACTTGTACAGTTCTCTGACAGGGTGAGGCTACTGGTGCAAACACTTGAGTTATGCTAAAGACCTGCTTTCCTTCAGGGAGTCTGGTTTGGATTTTTTTATTTGTTTTTGTGGTTAATCCTCACCTGAAGATATTTTTACATTGATTTTTTTTTTTTTTTTTTTAATAAAGTGGAATGGAGAGGAAGGAGGACGACAGAGGGGAGAGAGAAAGGGAGAAAGAAACATCAATGTGAGAGACACTGATTGGTTGCCTCCCACAAGTGCCCCGACTGGGACTAAAGATTTAGGGATTGAACCTGAACCCAGGTACAATCAAAACTGTGACCCTTGGTGTGAGGCTGAAACTCCAATTACTGTACACACCTGCCAGGGCAGGGAGTCTGTTTTTTGATAGTTGCTAGGAGGGTGCCTACATGATCAGCTTTCAATAAAAACCTTGGGCCTGGCCTGCCTGGCTCAGTGATTGAGTATTGACCTAAGAACCAGGAGGTCTCAGTTTGATTCCTGATCAGGGCACAGGTTTGGGTTTTGGGCCTAATTCCCAGTGTGGGGCGTGCAGGAGGCAGCCAAAAGTGATTCTCTCTCATCATTGTTATTTCTTTCTCTCCCTCTCCCGTCCTCTCTGAAATAAATGAAAACATATTTACAAACAAATAAATAAACTAAAAATAAAAACCCTGGACGAGTGTCTACTGGCTTCCCTGGGCAGAAAAACTACATGTTCTTCCTCTTTTCCCATTCTTGGTGTGCCCCCCAGGAAGGAGAACATTGAAAGATTGTGTATTTCTCCAACACCAGACTCTGCCTATATATCTTTTCCTCTTGCTGATCCAGTCGTGCATCCTTTCATTGTAATAAACCTCACCTCTGAATACTAATCAATTGCTGAGTGAATTAGTGGGCTTAAGGACCCCACTCCCACCAACACACATAAAATACTGACCCAAATAACTTATATGCTACAATAACATCAGATTAAAAGGTGTTTTGTAAGCAAAGCAGGTAGAAATGCTTAATTCAAGTCAACAAGTGACTTAAGAGACCAAGAGGGGAGAGAAGGAGTTAGAGGGGAAGAGGAGGGAAATCAATGATGAGACCCACTGATTGGCTGCCTCCTATTTATCCTAGATAAAAAGACACTAACCCTGTTTCCTCAAAGAACTCATTGTCTAAAATGGGAAACAGGTGCCTGGTAAAACTACTCAGTAGCCTAGAGATTTAGAAACATAAATGTAAATGTGAAAATTCAAATGGCGAGAATTTTGGTGATTCAATGAAAGTCTTATTAACAAATGCATAGACTATTCTTCTAAATACTTTTTTTTCTAAAAGCAGGTCATTGGTAATAGAAGAAAAGGGACCATCTCCCTCTCTAATAGTGATTTGTCCTGCAAATCTCCAAGGAGATCATCTATAAATGAGTAACCTAACACCAGAGAGACTTGAAAACAAGGTTGGGAAATCATGCTGTCTCCTAGTTACCAAAATAAAGATAGCATATGAATAACATAAATGACATATTTCACCCCAAGTTGTGATTGAGTGCCAAAAACCTGGTTTTCATTTACTAACCATGCTAGAACACTTCCCAGTGTGTCTCCCTGAAGTTTCAGGAAAATGCTTATAAAATGTCTTGCATTGTGGTAGAGAACATGCACCAAGGAAGCATTTCTCGATCTGGTTAGCTCTTTATTCAACCTAGAAACAAACTATGCCAGGAAACTGTCTGAACTTTCAAATATTTGTCTTGCAACAATTAAGAAAAAATTCACAGAATATACCTACAAGGATATGAAAACTGCCCTGCAATAGCAGGGCTGACAGCCTTTGCCCTGCCCAATGTTACCTTGTGCCAAGAACTGCCCTAAATGCATTAGTCACAAACATATATTGTGATGGGTATCAGGTCTAAAATCCTCCTGGTTGCCGAAACCAGTTTGGCTCAGTGAATAGAGCGTCGGCCTGTGGACTGAAAGGTCCCAAGTTCGATTCCAATGAAGGGCATGTACCTTGGTTGCGGGCACATTCCCAGTAGGGGTTGTGCAAGAAGCAGCTAATCAATGATTCTCTCTCATGTTTTTAACTCACTATCCCTCTCTGTAAAAAATCAATAAAATGTATTTTAAAAAGAAATAAATAAAACCATCTTGGTTATTAGATAAAACACAGAAAAGAAAATCTCTGCATGTACTAGACCAGTGGTTGGCAAACTCATTAGTCAACAGAGCCAAGTATCAACAGTACAATGACTGAAATTTCTTTTGAGAGCCAAATTTTTTAAACTTAAACTATATAAGTAGGTACATTGTTATTAACTTAATTATGGTACACCTAAGCTGGCTTTTGCTAAAAACTCAAGGGGTCAAAGAGCCCCTTGTAGCTCGTGAGCCACAATTTGCCAACCACTGCATTAGACTATACAGGAGGCAAGATTAGTACTGGGGATTTCCATGGTCTTAGTATATAAACAGTAGTAAGTAGAAAATTACCAAATTTTTCTAAACATGAAGCTTAACTAAATTATGTACAAAGCATGTGTGATTGTGAAAAGCCACTTAAAAGGTAATATTAAAGATTTAATAACAACTGAAAACTAGAACATACCAGAGTGCAGTAACCAAGCAAGATGCTTTGAGCCTGGGCTCCGGTCATAAGGTATTGATTGTACCAACATTCCAGCTCCAATCATGGCTGCAAAGGTTGCACCAATTGTCTGAAAGAACACATATTATTAGGAAAAATCTATCCTTATACAACAACAAAGTAGAAGCCCACAATTTCTAATTTTCAGTTAATCTTTCCAAGAAACCATGTTTTTTCCAACACATAAAAGACCTTTATTTCCATTTGGCCAAGTTACAAGAGTGCCAACGCCCTTAAATTTGCAGACAATTCTAAGTGTATACAGAATTAAGCTTTGACTAATAACGTCATCTTTTAAAAACTTTATTCTTTTTAGACATAGGTTTCACAAAATCTTGTTACAAGTCCCAGAATAATTATTTTTAAATTACATCCTAGTATAGCACTAATAGCATTTAAGAATATTAGTCAAGATATACCAATTAAAATATATATATATATATATATATACACACACACACACACACACACACACACACACACATATATATAAAAAAATAAATAAAACACTTGGAAAAGAAACCTGAAAAAATAAAAGCACATGGAAAAGAGAAGAAATAAGACTGTTTCTTTCTTTCAAACTTTCTGGCTGACTTGGACCTCTTCCCTTTTTGTTGCCTTAGATTTCCATTATTATGATTTGTAAAGATTCCTTGTGTATATAACAAGAAAGCAATATAGGTAATGGAAAAAGATGATAACAAATAGCCAGGAAATTTAAAGGGAAAAACTATAAACTTGTACCTTTTGGACAGAATCAGATAGCATGTATTTTATTTGGCCAATTACTACAAACAAATGAACACCGTAACTGAATGCAAATGCTTCTGGTTGGGAAGGTTTTTCTCCAGATGCTAAGAATCCTGTGTGATGCTCTAGACCTGCCTCATCATCTGCACTGTCTGTCTGACACACAGGCACCTGCTGCTTCCATTCACGTTAAACAGAACAACATGCTGAGTTCTATTCTACCATTTTCCAATGGACAATTACTAAAAACTACTTCACATATCTCTGTGCAAAGCATTTTCAGGTTATTTATCACAATTACACTTTTTCTTTTAAGCACCTTCATGATCCAGTTCCATTTTTTGCCTTTCAACTTTCCAGTCTCCACTCCAGCTGCACAGAACTAGTAGGGCTACAAACATGCCTCAGGCTTATGCCTCTTTAATTCTGTTCATTGTGCCTAAGAACTCTTTCCTGTTTGACTTACTTCAGAACTTTCTCTTTGTCTGGGAAGGTTTATGGTGGGTCCCCTTGCTGCCAAGAGGTGTCAAGATAACTCTTCTCTGTTCCAAAGACACTTAATACAATGATCAGTGTCTCAGACATGTCACCCCCCCACTCAAGAAAAAAAAAAAAAAAAAAGACTACATATTCATCACTGTAGCATCTGTCTGGCTTCCTAAACTTTTACATAAGTACAAGAGTAAAAGCATGAGAGTGATCTACCGTATTTCCCCAAAAATAAGACATCCTCCGAAAATAAGACCTAGCGTATGGAAAGATAAGGCATCCCCTGAAAATAAGACCTAGCACAACTTTGGGAGAAAAAATTAATATAAGTCGCTGTCTTATTTTCGGGGAAACAGGGTAATGCCCACAGGAGATTATAGCCTATGCACAAAACTTCTTTAACATTCTTATTTTAGGGGCTAAACTCCTTTGTGAATTATTTTTTTCTTTTGTGAATTTTGATCTTCCTCATATAGCCATGCTTGCTTAATTACAAAAAGCACTATTGTAAATGATGTACTACTGATTTAACCAACATTCCTAGTGAGAATGCACATGCTTATTCTGTGCCTTGTAGAACCTGTAGGCTAGGCAATCCATGCCACCCATCTGAGAATATCCTAAGAATACTGACTGTCCACATGGCTATGATACTGTAAGTGTTCCTATTTTGGAATGTACAATCTGTGTAAATATTACAGATTTGGAGGTTGAATAGATTTGGGCTACCTACAGAGAACTGGTGTGCCATGGGACATCTCTGAGTATTATTACATAGACTCTCCCATCTTCTCTTCCCGTCCAGCCTTACAATCACTGTTCTAGTTCACACTCTTATCAACAGATCTTGCAAAGGTAGAGCTAGTACACTGGCTCTTCCACACTAGTTCTCCATATTCCAATACCCACAAGGCCTTTGCTGTTCCAGTCCTCTGCAATGGCCTCACTGCTTAGGCACTCCTCTCAGCTTGCCAATCACACAGTCCCTTAACGTCATCTTCACACTCGAGCCCTCAAATATGCTAAGGAATTGTAAAGGCACTTTTAATAACTGCTTTCTTTGCTCAAGCTGTTTTTGCAAACTTGCAATACTCTTGTACTCTCCTAAAATAAGAAATGACAGGCTTCAATAGCCCTGATGAGATAAAACTTCACGGGACTTCTCTACTAGTCCAAGGCAAAAATAATCTTTCAACTGATTTAAAACTTTCTTCTTCTTATTGTATATACTTTACCACTTACTCTAGTTTATCTCTTCAACCAGAGTAGAAAAATAGGGTGATTTCACCACCCTTGAAATTAGTTTTTGGTATCTAGTAAAATAAAATATGTACAAGAAACACTCATCAGACCATGCCATCTTGAAGGGGAAAGTGGGTCTTATTGGAAGCCTGAAAATCTACAACTATGGCAACCACCGAACAGCTGCAAGCCTCAGAACACCGGTCCCCAATTGGTGCAAACACTTGGATTCACAGGAGTTCTACACTCCAACACGGAAAGGTCCGATTTCGCCTGGGATAAGGAGAGAGAGAACTACATAACCAGGCACCTGGAAACGTGAGACTATAGAGAGACAAACAGCCCGTATATGAAAGAAAAGCAGAAATCACCAGAAAAGGAAATAAATGAAATAGAGGCAAGCAACTTATCAGAGAAAGAATTCAGAGAAATGGTCATAAGGTGGCTGAAAAGAATGGAAGACAAATTCAACAATATGAGTAAAAACCAAGAGGAAATGAAGAAAGACCAAGAAAAAATGAAAAATAGGCTCCCCTTGCACAGGCACCGGACGGGGCGCCGGGAGCAGGCGGCGAGCGCCTCTGAGGAGCCGCCTCCTGGTCGCGGTCGCGGTCGCAGCCGCGGCCGCGGCCGCGGCACCAGCTCAGCCCATGCCTCCCGGGCTGTGCCTCCGGGAGACCACACCACCCGTGCCGGACAGCTCAGGCCAGGATGCCCGCCGGGCTCCCAGTGCCCCGCAGACGGGCAGGAGACTGTGGACGCCTAGCCCGCAGCCCGTAGCATGGATTCGGATTCCAGCGAGCAGAGTGAGGGTGAGCCCACCGCCACTGCAGGTCCCAATGTCTTTAGTTTCAAGAGTTTTGCCCTTCAAGCCCAGAAGATTCTGAGCAAAATAGCCAGCAAGACTGTGGCCAACATGCCGATCTATAACACCAGCAGTGAGATCTTTGATGAGCTCTACAAAGTCACCAAAGAGCACACCCACAACAAGAAGGAAACCCACAAGATCATAAAAGACTTAATCAAGGTGGCCATCAAAATCGGGATTCTCTACCAGAACAACTAGTTCAACCAGGAGGAGGTGGCTATCATGGAGAAGTTCAGGAAGAAGCTGAACCAGACCACCATGACTATCGTCAGCTTCTAAGAGGTGGAATACACCTTCGATAGGAACATGCTCTTCAAGCTCCTGCACGAGTGCAAACTGGAGGACCTGGTACAGGAATTGGTGCAGCAACACCTGACCCCATGGTGCATCAACCACATGGGCGCATCAACCACATCTTCAACCACTTTGCTGATGTGGAGTTCCTCTCTACCCTTTTATAGTCTGGATGGAAACTGTAGACCCAGCTTCAAGAGGATGTGTGAAGCAATCAATAAATTGCTAGATGAGAAAGTCCTCTGAATATCTTCCTTCCTCCTGGACTTTGCTGCATTTCGGGTACAGCCTCCAGTGTGGTCTGGGTGAGAGCCAAGAAAACGGGAAGAAACCTTGTCAAAGATGCCCATGTTCTGTCCTTTTCGTCCCTCTGATGTGGATGCTGAATTGAGCTCAGGTGTGTTTGTCCCCTGAGCTTGCTGACGAGGTCTGGAATTTAAATCACCTTTGTTTGCGAGCCCAAAGGACATGTGGTCGGCAAAATCATTAATCAACAGAGCCAAATATCAACAGTACAACGATTGAAATATCTCTTGAGAGTCGAAGACCGACTTTGGCACATGGGCCACGAAGTTTCAATCTCACTGTACATGCACACCCAAATGTGGTATTTTGTGGAAGAGCCACACTCAGGTTTCAAGGGTGTGAAAAGACACCCTTTGGTTTATTATTTTCACACCTTTGGTTTCAAGGGTGGTGAAATCACCCTATTTTTCTACTCTGGTTGAAGAGATAAACTAGAGTAAGTGGTAAAGTATATACAATAAGAAGTAGAAAGTTTTAAGTCAGTTGAAAGATTATTTTTGTCTTGGACTAGTAGAGAAGTCCCATGAAGTTTTATCTCATCAGGGCTATTGAAGCCTGTCATTTCTTATTTTAGGAGAGTACAAAGGGCCGCATGCGGCTCATGAGCCGCAGTTTGCCGACCACTGTTCTACGCTAAGCAGAAAGGCTGCCCTGCTCATCAAGGAGAGCTCAGATCACCTGTGGAATAGAAGGAGCCCTGGCCCAGAAGGCAGAGGACATGGTTTGGTTCCCAGCTCTACCAGTTGCGACTCCATCCTCTGGATCCTGCCCGCCCGCCTGCCTCCCTCCCTGGGTTGCTGTGAGGATCAAATGAAACAATGTATGTTCATGACTATGAAGACGCTAATGTAGGGTCTTCTCTTCAGAGTGTGAGAGGGAGCCACTTGGATTTAGACTATTAAGCAGCAAACAACAGACCAATAGTCTCTGGTGGGATGGGCTTGCAATCTGTCTCTAGACGTGCTATTTCAAAAAACTGAAAATGAATCTAAAAGTGTGAAAAGGTATAGCTGCAAATTGGGAAAAGAGCTCTGTTTTCTGGATCTTAACTGTGTGGTTCTATGATCCTCCAGTGGGGGGTAGAATCCCACCCGTCACGCAGAAGCGGAGAACTGTGCTCC